AGAACAAGTAGAGGCAAAGTGTATTCTTTTGCTTTCTGATATACTGGATGCATATGCTATATGTCTTGGTTCTGGCATTTTATAGTTATAAGTTTGGGATTTGTTTCTAATTAAAACCATTTTTGAAAGACTAAAACAAGACAATTCAATTTGAAATGTTCTCATTAATTATAAAGTACTATGAAATATCAATTACATTTTTTATAGTCAGTTTATTCCTCTCAATGCAGGCCCCTAGCAAGGTCATGACCTTCTGCTAGTGCCACTTGTTTTTTATTGTTTTCGTTATTTTTTTCAGCATCAACTGGGCATCGAAGCATCCCTTTTATAAAGCAATCCATTACAAGGCTGAGGTAGCATCAGCTTTTGGATTGGAGCTATAACTTGCTAACTCAGTCCACACAGGCCAAACAGCAAATGGTACACTGTTCTTTTCCTCACTTGGCTGCCATCATTGTTGGGATAACTTCATTCTACAGAGAAAACTGGCACCAGATACAAATCTGTAATCCAACAGTAGGGAGGCTAAGACAAGAGATCCATAAACTGGAGTCCAGCCTGAGTTACATAGCAACTCTCTCTCTTAAAAAAAAAAAAAAAAAAGTGTTATCAGAGCACGTTATGTGGTTTTCCATTCAAGATCAGAACTCAGAATTGCTGGGCTTGCTGGGCCCTCTTTCCTAAACAAATAAACAGCAACCAAACAACAACTAAATGGAGATGGTCAGACAACTCAGGCCCTCCCACCGAAGGTCAGGCTACTAAATGTGTATTGGGTGCCCAGCTATGGAAACACATTTCCTGGGAATCCAAAATCAAGCACAGCTTTTGTTTTGTTCTGTTTTGTTTTACCATAAAACCATAATTTCATTAGGTGTGGGAAACTGTGACTGGGCCTGTTTTCTGCTGTGAACTTTGTCCCAGCACATGCATCCTTTTATTTTAGAAAGATCATTTCCTACTTGAACTTGATTCTCCTCTATTAACGGGAATGCTCTCCTCTGTCTGAGAAACCTTAACAAAAGATTTTGTTGTAAGAATTATTTATTCTTTATAGTTTTAACTAGTTTTTCCTCCCTCCTTCCCTCCTTCTCCCATCCCTTATTTCCTCTCTCTCTCTCCCTCCTAAGATTTTGAACTCGAGAACTCACACATGCTAAACACACAATCTTATCATTGAGCTTTGTTCCAGTTCCTTTTTCAAATTCCAAGTTGGTATGATCAGACCTTGTGAATCTTAAACATTTGTTTTCCAAAAAAAAAAAAAAAAAAAGAAAGAAAATAACCAAAAAAACCAAAAAAAAAAAAAAAAAAAAAAAAAAACCATTGAAGGACCAGAGAGATGGTTTAAGAACACATACTGCTAGAGGACCCCAGCTCTGTTCCTAGCACCCACATCAGGCAGCTTACAGCCTCCTGTAATTCCAGGTCCAGGGGATCTGATACCTTCTTTTGGACTCTGAGACATCTTCACTTACACATACTTATAGCCACATGCAGACCTCACACATATACATATAATTCAAGATAAAAATAAGTCTTTCATTTTCTTAAAATTGCTTAGTGGGGGCACTGGAGAGTTGGCTCAGTGGTTAACTGTTCTTCCAGAGGACCCAAGTTTGATTCCCAGCACCTACATGGTGGTTCACATCTGTCTGTAACTCCAGTTCCAGGGGATCTGATGCCCTCTTCTGGCCTCTGTGGACAGTAGGCACACATGCGGTACACAGGCATACGTGTAGGCGAAACATCTATCTATACACATGGAATAAAATTAAAATAATAAAATTGCTGGGACCTGCACGGCTTTGAGATTTATCTTTCTGGTATGACAGGTAATGAAGAAAATGACAGATGCCAGGGTTGGGCCATGTGCTCTGATGAATCTGTACCAGCAGCCAGAATTGAATCTCTCAGCACACAGTTCACAGCTGAGGTAGGAGGCAGGCTGGCTCATCTCAATAGGGGTCTTTGTAAGGGGGCAGTCTCAGGCTGCAGTCAAGCTGAAGGATAAGTTTTGGTTGATGATTCCCATGTAGTGCTTTGACCAGGGACCGGGGTACAAGGCTTTACAGCCCTGAGCCTGACCTGGGGAAGGCCTTGCCATTCCCATGGACCCGAGGCACTGGGGTCCTTGGCATGGTTGTGCCTGTGTCAACAATATACATTCACTCAGGACTTCACATGCTCCCCCACATCAATAAAACAGAATATTTTAAAAACAGTTTCATCCTTACAGTCCTTATACTTGGTTGTTCCTTTTGTTCGTTTGTTTCTTCAAGACAGGGTTTCGCTGTCTTGAAGCCCTGGCTGTGCTGGAACTCGCTTTGTAGACCAGGCTGGCCTTGAACTCACAGAGATCCCCCTACCTCTGTCTCCCAAGAACTGGGATTAAAGGCGTGTGCCACCCACTGCTCAGCTTTCCTTATACTTGTTAATTGTCAAGAGAGTATTATTTTGACTTAGGCTCAGAGAATTTGACAGCATTTCTTTATTCATTTTGCTAAAGTAAAGTAAGGAAGAAAATAATTGGATTTGGGAAAAAGCACAGTGTAGCAGATAATTAAAATTTGGTTGAATTCATTCTTTCCCAGAAATGCAATCAGACAGACTGTTTTAAATTGTCTTTTCTTTGCAGTTATCAAAATGAATACTCATTTGTATTTTTGGGCCAATGACTTGATTTCTGTTCATTTTTAAAGTCTATTACTTCAAAGCAGTTTCACCTTGCTATGGATGTATTTGGGAGCATTTGGCTATAATAATGAAATGAAATGATTGTTAACTCTAATATTTACTTAAAATTACTATGTATATCTCCTTATCTAATTTAACTTTATGGGGGAAATAAAAGCTCATGATTAGTGAAAAGGTATAATTGATACTGCATTTTCCTATAAGTGTTTTTAGAGTATTAGAAAAATGGCTTCAATTATTCAGTAAGTGTTTTATTCCATGAATTGTGTCATGTTGATGGTTAATTTGTATGTGCATGTGTATATATAAAGTGTGTGTGATGTGTTTGTAATCCTCCGTGTGATTGTGGGCATGGGTGTGCCACAGCATGCATATGAGAGGTCGGAGGACCCTTGGGTATTGATCTCAAACATCTACCTTTTTTGTGGCAACATCTTCTTGTTGTTTGTTGTTGTTTTTTTTTCCCCACTGCTTTACAAACCAGAATAGCTAGCCCTTGAGACTCCAAGGATTCAGCTGGGAATGTGAATTTTTCTCTTAGAAACTGCTCAGAGGCCAATGTCTCCCCTGTTCCATAAGTCCTGGGTATTGAAAGAATTCTTGTTACCAAAATGTCACCAGCACAGATTAGCCTATTTATCTTTAGACCAGCCCTCTCCCACCTTCAGATTTGAAGGTGACACTGGCCAGAATCAAGACCAACTTCTTATAAAGATGGCTTTTCAGACTAACATGACCCTTGATGCTAAACTCCAAGGGTTGGCGGGTGTGCGGATATGTAGAGGTGCCGGGCTCAATTAATCATTAATTGCAGGACAGCACCTCCAGTTACTTTTCTCCTCTGCGCGGCTGCTTTCATGCTGAGGGCTAGTCTGAGCGTTAACCAGAAAGCTGATGTAGAAGTTAACATGGGCCCTTGTAGGATATGATAGGGTTTTCTTTCTATCTCATTCTCCCTTCCTTCCTTATCCTCCTCAGTATCAAATAAAGAGCAGGAACCTTGGTTAGCACATTAGTATATCAAAATGAGAAGATGATGGCTTGTCTTGAGGAATGTCCACTCTTCACAGAAGGTAGAGATGTAAAGCTTTCTCTTATAAACACACAGTGAGGAGATGCCAACCCTCAGTGCAATTGTTGTGTCAGGGCTGATGGACAGAACCTTAGGACCACAGCAGGCACAGATAGCTGGAGTTAAAGATCATGAACTCAAACCAAGGAGATCATGCTACATAGGGTGATGAGAAGGGACCAGACAGAAGGGACATCTGAAGGTGATTGTATAGGGCTGATGTAGACTCCTTAGGAAAGGGTAAAGAAGGGCCTTGAGCTGCTTTTTGGGGTCTATACTCATGACCAGTAAGTTTTGGATTGTTCTTATTTCTGAAATTAAACATCACAGAAATAGACACACAAACACAGGCACAGTCACACAGGCACAGTCACACACACACACACACACACACACACACACACACACACAGAGAGACAGAGACAGACACACAGACACCGACACACAGTCTGTGTCGGAAGGGTGAGAGGGGAGCATGACAGGATTCCTTATGGTCCATTACAGGTTGCCTCCCTTTGCCAACTCTGCCATTTTCTCTGCCATTATTTTACAAAGAGCACAGTCATGTGATCACCCTAACAGAAGTGTGTATTTTTCATCTTAAGTCTTTCTCCTAAGGGGGGAAAAAGTGTCGTGTCTTTTCTCAGATACTGTCCAGAACCTTTTCCCAAAGGACCACAGCTCTGATTAAATTTTTAAAATTGCTTCAGCATTATTTTGTTTCTACCCTTGCTAATGCTCGTGAAATTCATGCCATGAATAAACAAACTTGAGAGGACATGAAAGAACAGGCTTTGTGGCTATTTACTCAAGGGGCAACGATTTTGCTCCTCCAGGCTCTAACCTTTCCCAACTTGAAGTTGGCCCTCCAACACAGCTTTCATTTCCCAACAAAGGGATACTCCGCACCCTTCCTTCAAGGTGTGGCAAACTTCTAGTCAGAGAATAGTATTGAGCCCTTTTGTCAGCTGTATGGTTTTGGGTTGTTCCCTCACCTACTGTTAACCAGGAGTGTCAAAAGACACAGCATTCTACTGCTCTGTGGCCATATGACCACTGTTGAGTGGCAGACACTTTCAGTGTCTGCTTCTTAACGCTCCTCTTTCTATGGTTTCTTCTAGCACAAACTCTGTAGGTGATACTCAGACAGTAAACTTGAACTTGAGCAGTTATTTAGGCTTCTGACTTCACCTTGATGACAATAAACTTTAATTATTGCTATATGGGAAATCTACAACTTCTCATCAGAGGCCACAGGAACACTCCTATCATCACACTCAGCGGGGAGTTCTTGTAAATTTTCTGTAAGGTTTGCTTCCTCTTGGGACAGCTGGCCACTGTGCTTAGTGACCAGCTCCTCAATCTTCTGTTCCTTTTCTGCTAAAACTTCTTCGAGCTGATTGATCTTCTCAGTTTGCAGGGAAAGCTGGGTGGACAGCTCCATAATCAGGCTAATCTTTCTGTCACCTTCCTCCACAGGTGGGAGACCGTCACAGAGCACTTCCACTGAGTTGGATGCTAAAGCAAATAAAGAACAAACAAACAAAAAGAGAGAGGTCATTTTCATTGAGTTCCCAGAACTCAGAGCGGGAGGATGAAAGCTCTTCATTTCTCACGTTCTCAAGAGGCATCCCAGATGTTACGTCATCTGGTTAGACACACTGAGAACAGTCTAGATCCCATGAGGGCAAAGATTCAGGGGCTCATGAAAGAAGAACTTGCAAGTCTCTGGAGAGGAATCAGAATCAGACCTTGCCAACTCTTAATTTTATTATTTTTTATATGCATTTAACTTTCAATTAACTGTGGGAATGAGCCGACCTTGAAAGACAAACCACAATAACAGCCATGCCAGGCTTCATCTTTTCCTGAAGAATAGTTCATAAGAGGGATGATTGCAATAAAGGAAAATATGGTTGAAATTAGATGTTTACATGTCTGAAAAACAACAAATCTTGCCATTGCTCCTTCTGGGGAAGATGGTAATAGAGGAAGACTAACTTCCCAGTCCAAGCTTCAGGGTTACCAGGAGTATCAGTTTGAGCCCGGGCATGGAATTGCTTGCATGGGATCTATCAGAGGTTTACTTCTTTTATGTTGAAGACTGGTCAGCATTTTAAAATAAAATTGAGCATCCTCTGGGACATCAAAGTTTATCCAGTATCATGGTTCTTAGTGAATCACTGGGATAAGGATGAAAAATTGAAGGAGGGAAAAGAGAGTTCAGCAATGAGATGAAGGATGAATCACTGGCCCCAAGAGTCCTGGAAAATGAATCTCCCTAGCCATCCAAAAAATGTGGCTTCTGTAAAAAGTAAACTCCATCTCGTTAGACCTCAAATGTGCCCCTCTCTTTACTTCATTTCTCTGAGCTATGAAAAATGCAGACATAGATATAAGTAGTAAGAGATGTCAAGGGCTTGGACATCAGTTTAGGGGTAGTGGAGCCAATAACATCTCATTCCCCAGCTTCAGTGGTTGATATAATATAGCTGAAAGCCTATAGATCTTTTCATCCCCAGTGAAGACAAGTCCTGATATACTATTGTCAGTTACGGATAAACAGACTTTCTATACAAGCCAGGTGTTTTCTAGCAGTCAAGGGGATAATGTAGGAGCATTGCCATGAGTTCTAGGCCAGTTGGGCATGTAGAGTGAGACAGTTAACTACACACACACACACACACACACTTCACACACTACTGCTGTTAACCCATACCTGGTCTTCTCTCTCTCAACACACACACACACACATACACACACACACACACACACACACATACATATACACACACACATATGTATGTATGTATGTATGTATGTATATGTATGTGTGTGTGTGTGTGTTCAGGCAAAGAATCACCGGAATTCATTAGTGAGTAAAACTTAGTGGCTATTAGCTCTTTCCTGAAGGGTCTCTGCTGGAAGCTTGAGCACGCAAGGCACAATGCACAAAAGTGACAAGGTGACACCAAGCCATACTCTAGTCTTACAAGTAATAATAATTGGCAAATTACCAAACTTTTAGGGATGTCTGGGAAACTTGAGTTCTCATTATTTGAAACTCTAATATTAGTATTGAAGGGAGAAATGAATTGTTCATCTCTCAAGTTAAAGAGCAACAAAAGGAGCTGGAGAGGCACTAAGTGGTCCCAAGCACATGCTACTCATCTGCACCTGTGTCTGGAGGCTAAAAACCTCCTGCAACTCCAGCTCCTAGGAGATCTGATACCTTCTTCTGGCCTCCATGGGCACTGGCACACAAATGACAGATTCACAGACAGACAAACAGGCACACACACACACACACACACACACACACACACACACACACAAATTAAAAGTAATGTATATTTTTTAAAGTATAGTGAAAAAGTATTATAGTTTAAAGAGTTATTTGGTTCATTGTCTCTGAGGAAGTCATATACCCCCAGCCCAGGAGAAGCTTCCCACACAGCAGGATCCTACCTTTTACATCTGGCCAGAGCTGTGCTGGTAGCAACAGTACTACACATGAACAATAAGCAACTGGATATGGCTATTCTGAGTCGAGATATGCTATCAGTATGAAATAGGCATTAATTTGGGAACACTTGGCTTGGAAAACTGTGAAGTATCTCATTCATTTTTGTTGATTATATTAAAGTAGTAATATTTGCATCAGGAAAATCCTTATATGGAAATTTATTTCATTCACATGTTCTAACTTTAAAAATGTAGCTACTAGGAAGTTCAAATCACGTGGCTTGAGTTTGTGTGTTCATAGTGCTTGGTAGGCATTTCCTGCAGGTGACATCCAGGTGGGCCGCACAACTTTCCCGATCTACTCAGCCCTCACAGGCATTGTTTGGGAGAGAGGCTCGGTCACTCTCAATGGATCATTTATCTGTGTCCTCTGAGGGTGGAAGCATGGAAACGCATGTCTGGAATGGGTTCTCATGGACTGAAGTAAGGTTCAACAGTAGTGGAAAAGAGAGAGAAGAAAATGTGCAGCTGGGAGGAGAAGCCAAGTGTGTCAGCCTGGGAGGAGAGGAGAAGTCAAGTGTGTCAGCCTGGGAGGAGAAGCCAAGTGTGTCAGCCTGGGAGGAGAAGCCAAGTGTGTCTGCCTGGGTGAAGAAGCCAAGTGTGTCAGCCTGGGAGGAGAAGCCAAGTGTGTCAGCCTGGGTGAAGAAGCCAAGTGTGTCAGCCTGGGAGGAGAAGCCAAATGTGTCAGCCTGGGAGGAGAAGCCAAGTGTGTCTGCCTGGGTGAAGAAGCCAAGTGTGTCAGCCTGGGAGGAGAAGCCAAGTGTGTCAGCCTGGGTGAAGAAGCCAAGTGTGTCAGCCTGGGTGGAGAAGGTGTCTCTGGAGCTCTTCCCTTGGATGTATTTTGCTGCTACTACTTTCCCCTTGGACCCTTCTGTCATTTTTTTCCTCACCACCTTGTCCTTAAACTGGCATTTGAAATGAAAACCCAGAGTGCAGTACCACACTTTTCTATCCCTCTTTCTCCTCTTTTTGCCCCCATCCCTTCTTTCTTCCTAAGATAAATGAAAGCAGATATAGTGAAAGATTTAGACAGTTGGAAGAGAACCAGAGTATGCAGAGTTATAGATGAATTCCCTGGTCATCTGCTCTGGTGATAAAGGGGCAAACTATTGCAATGGGGGGCCTTACATCCATGATGTTAAGTAGCACATCTGTATTCTTGCTCTGAAAGAGAACAGCAGAGAGGGAAGGTGGGAAGAGGAAGAGAGGTGGAGGGGCACAGTGGGCCTCAGATGCTTCAACAAAGTGTCACACATTGGGTGTCTCGGGTAATGGGCAGTGTTTCTCATAGTTCCAAAGGTGGGGAAATTCTGGAAAGTTCTGTAAACATTAGGAAACAGCACATATTTATAGGAAGTGGGTCTTTGAGGGCATACTGTGCAAGACTATATCTGGTCTGCAATTTCTTCTTTGCTCCCCACTTCTTGAGTGCTATAGCATGTGTGGCCTTTTCCTCCATATGCTCTTACTGCCATAGTGTTCTGCCCAAGAGCATGCCCAAGAGCATTATGCCTACCTACATAATGCTCTGAAATGCCAAGTCAATATAAATCCTTTCTTCTTTAAGTTGTTCTCCTCATGCATTTTTGTCACAACCTCGAGAAAAGTGGGCAATACATGGGTGGAAGGCCGGTGTGTTTAGCAAGGTTAAGAGGAAGTAGTACAGGAATGTTCTTGCATCTGTCCTGAGATGCTCACTTTTTTTGTGTCAGCCTGGAAGAACCAAAGGCTAACAGAACTGTGTGACCTTTGCCTTTGGGCCTTTCCAACTTTTCATTCATAGCCTCATTGTCATCATACACTTAGTAGCAATGTAGCCCACAAGAATTATATGAAAGTAACCAATAATAATTAAGTAGATTATAGCAGAGAATTACATTTAGAGGAATGTGTAGAGCCTAAGACTTGGGGAGGGTAATCTGATTTATTTATTTATTGTAGCCACTACAGGAATTCTGAAAAGCTCCACAATGAACCTCTGGTGTCCCTTAAACTTTACATATGTTACCCACTAAACTGTAACCAGTGGATAAAGGCAAGTTGTTGCTGTTACTGCAGCTACAAACTTACAGAAATAATGGACAGGTACAAAGCTGTCATGGACAGACCGGGGTGGACACAGGACAAGCCCACTGCTGTACAGTGCTACATTAGATCGGAAGACCTAGAATGTGGAAACTTGGAGTTTGTGAGTACTGGCATTCATATCATGTTGAATGGCAGCCCAGTGAATGGTGGGAAGGACCTTTTTGTTGCTTTTTTTTAACACCCTTTGCTAAAGCGGAGTGTTCCCTTTAAGTGCTATTTCTGCTGTCACCACTAAGTACTTACTGAGCTGTCTGGTTTGTGAATCAAACACCTCCAGCAATGTGGCACTTTGCTTTTATTTGGGACATGAGTATCTTCTATAGTCACAGCTCAATCATTTTTTTTTTCTGACAGTTAATGACCGGGCCCCTGCACACAGAACATGATATGATGTGATGTTGGCTCCTGTAGCCATGCTATGGGGCAGGGGATAGGCAGGGCTATGAAGCCCTAAAGGACAGTTAGGGTTAGCATGAGCAAACACCCCACTAGGTCCACACTATGGTTTATTTTTCTTTTTGTTTTCCAAGCGGATGTTGAAGCTGCCAAGTATTTACTCAATAAGAAAGACTCTTAGCGTCGAGGTGATTAAATACCTCATCCTAGAGCCACCCAGGATTACTGTGCAGCCTCCAAGACTGTGCCAGCATCCTTCTCTGAACACATGCCCATCACTCTGAGTCACTTGGGGCTGGTTTTGAAAGCTGTGTATGCTTGTCAACAACTGCCAGGGAGTCCAAGTCCACCCCTTGTCATTCTTGGGCTGACACACCCATAGGCATATACCCCTCCCACTTAAATAAAAAAATGAAGAAACAAAAGCCTTCCTAGTTTTCTATCTTTCTAAATAATCAATTGTGAGTGGAAATTCTCTGAAAGAAATGGTCTCCCCCTACCCCCTCCCA